GGGACCAGACCCTTTCTGAAGTCCAGGCTATTCCCAGCTCTGCAGACACAAGGAGCTCTCAGGAGAAGGGGACATGGCTGGGTGTTTCCCACGGGAACACCTGGAGATGGGGCTGGAAGGCCCTACTCACTTGCCAAGACTCTGGCACAGCTCCTCGTCAGGGAACCTGCTCTTCAGGGGATGGGATGGAAGCGCTTTCTGCAGCTCCAGAAAAGGCTTCTCTATCAGCATCCTCATCATCTTTATCTGCATCTGAGAGTTTGACTGAGGAAAGGGAAGACAGTGGCTGATTAGCAAAGGTCCTTCCCAAGGCCCAGCTTGCACCTGAGAAAGGATCCCACGCTGCTCTCGTTGAGAGGGGGTGTGGGGTCCTCCTGTCTGGCTGCTCAGTGTCTGTGACACCTCCTGCTCTCTTAGCCAGGACCTCATCTCCAGGGACACAACTCCAGCATCTTTGCCTGCCCAGACACTGTTAGCAAAGCTGATCTGACCAGGCAGACAGACAAGCCAGGAACATTCCAGAGCTCCAGATACTTGCCTGCCCCCAGCCAGTACCAAGGCAGCTTGGACAAAAACTGTTTTGAAAGGGAACTGGGACAAGCTGGTGCCTCCTGGAGATGAGCACTGCCAGCACAGCCCCAGGGTGCAATCAGGCAGCCGCTGTTTGGTCTGTAAATCTGGCAGGGCTTGGGCTGGGACCAACAAACTCCCCAGCAATGACCTGCATCTCCTTCAAAGCACCATCAACTCCATCCCTGGAGTATGGCTTTCAGGATCTGTCCCTGGAGTAGCCAGGAAGCTGCTGTAGCCCCAAAAGAGACCATGACCAGAGTGGCAGCCCTAGGGGTAATGCTGAGGTGACACAACGATCTAGGTGGGCAGGGAGGTCCCAGATATCATCAGGGCACTGGGAAGCTGCTGTGGGGTGCAAGGGGCTCAGGTGACATGGGGAGGGGCTGCAGCTGCTCTTACTACAGTGCCAGAGCGAGGGATGTGGGGCTTCAGGTCCTGAGTCTTTGGATTCCGAGTCTTCAAGGTCTGACTCTCAGTGGTCTGAGTTTTCAGGGTCTGAGACTTCAAGGTCTCAGTCTTTGGCCTCCGAGTCTTCTTCCGAACAACTGATTTATTCCACTGATTGAATATTTGCTGGTGTGTTATGAGCCGTTTCAGTGTCTTCTCATATTTTTCATTTTCTGAAGGAAGAAAACATCCACAAAGAGAAGTGTGAGCAAAGTGCCAGTCCCATTTAAGCTGGGAAGCAGTGGATGCTGCTGTTCCTCTCTGAATCCCATCCCCTGCAATGTCACACAAATCCAGCCCTGCCAGAAGCCCTGCCAGCCTCTCTTACAGCTTTCCCAAGCCCTTCAGTCTAGCCATCATCCTTCAGGACCCTGCCAGATGTGCTGGCAAGCTCTGCAGGATGGTTCCGGGGACAAAGCCCACACGGCATCCTCTGCTCAAGACTCATGAAGCAACCAGAGGGCTTGAGTTGGTCTGGGAGTCCTGCAACCCTTCAGGCTTGGTGGAGGTGAGCATGAACTGCCCTATGGGCATATGATAGGGAACAAAACCAGAGGAGCCCTTCCTGGGGGCAGACAGGCAGTGCCCACCTATGATGTTCCAGGGCAGGTTCACACTGATCATGGGAAAGGATGCTTCTCCTTTCAGGAAGATATTTTCTGGGTCCAGGTGACCCACTTTAAGCTGGTAAGTCCTGATGAAGGCTCCTGATAATCCTGGCATGTAAGAGAATTTCAGCACTTGCTTCTCACCAGGTGCAATGGAGCCCTGCAGGGACAAGAGAAGAGGGAGGGAATGCATCAGAGTGTTTGATGGGGAATCAAGGGACAGACAGGCTGAGGAGACAGGTTCTCATCTAGAAGAAACCATCAGACCACATCACCTTTGTGATAAACATATTGCAATGTTGGCTTTCACAGTTGTTAAATGCTATGTGTTTTATAACGTTGACTTCTGTAAAAGAAGTTTTGCTGAAGTTTAGAGTTCTTTTAATGAGAATGTTGTGTTGTGATACCAATGTTGGTGAAGAGTTGTTGCAGTAACCAATGAAGAAATGGAAACTGTTGAATGTGTTGAAAAGTAACAAATGACCAGGACTAGGACAACTGCACATGCTCCACCTGCCGAACAGGACCCGACAGAGTGGCCCAGCATTCTGGCGGTATCGCTCTGTCCCTGTCCTCTGTTTATTGTCTCCATTTCCCTTTTCTCTCTCTGTTCTCTTTCCTATCCCCACTCTGGTCAGTACCATGCCCTTTCTTTATCAATAAACAGTTTTCAGATACAATACTTGCTGGTTTTGTGCCTTTTTGTTTGTCTGAGAAATCGATCAAAAAGAATTCTCCTCTACTCCCCTTACAGCAGGACAGGACAGCGACCAACACACTTGTGCCTCCTGCTGGTGTCTGCCTCTGACAGCAGAGCCACCCACCAGCCAAGGCCATGGGGGAGTCGATCAGGAGAGCCCTTGTTTGACCTGCTCTGCCCCCAGCAGAAATTCCTTACAGC